AAAGACAGCAGCAAAAGTCATCTGAGTCCTCCCCAGGGAGTGCCTATCACTGACAGCTGTTGGAGCAGTAAAGTGGGGAAAACGGAACTGGAAGAAAGGAAACTGCAGCTGACGGATGTGACCTGCTCACAGAAGCAGCTTAGGAGCAAAGCAGAGAGCACAGAGTGGGAGTTAGGGACAGGCAGGGCTGGGAGCGGCTTGCCAGGGATGGGGGCAGAACAGTACCCTGGTGCCCTGCACTCCAGGAGGGCAGCACACTTCCCGCTACCTTCCCTGCATGGCGGCTCCTCCACACGTGCCATTAGAGCATCACGTTTCCTTTCCCTGGAACTTCCCCGGACTATGCAGACAAAACCTGCTTTCCCCACCTCCCCCACGGAGCCGTGTGGGAACCAGGGACCAGTCTGGGTGGTGGCTGCGGGTGAGGCAGCACAAACGCGGGGAGCTAGGAGGAGTTGCCCTCACAGGGAGTGGGAAAATCTCCCATTCAAAGGCACGAGGAGCTTTCCACTGGCATCTCTGTTATTAATTAAAATATCTGAAGTGGCTTTGAAGAGAAACAACACTCAGTTGGCTCTTCTCCACCAAGAAGACATTGTGTCTTGCAGACACACACGGCGTCCGGCTCCCGCCTGGGGGAGGGCTGCCAGACACTCTGGCATGCTCAGGGAGGGATCAGGCACAGGTGGCGTGCGGGAAGGCCTAGATGGACAGAGCCCCACCTAGGCTGCTTGGCCAGGTGCAGCCCATGGGCTCCCACACTGTGATTTCTGGAGCACAACGCAGACCGAGCTGTGCTCAGCACCAGCAGAGATGGGAAGGCTGGCACTGCCACACACTCCCCAGGCCCGGGTGCTGGGCAGCAAGGACAGCAGCTCAGCTCACTGAAGTCATGCAGATAAGCTGTGTCCAGGGCTAACTCCAGCTTTTGGCACAGTAGTTTCACCAGAGCCTGGGCATGAGGCAGGGGCCAGGCCTCTGGGTGGGAACATGACACCCATGAGATCTGGGCCCCTGCAGATTCAATTGCCCATGAGCTGTTGCAATGCGGTCTCTTCCACCAAAGCCCGTGGGAGATTGTGCTGCACGGCAGATGCGTCCTCCGCAGCCCTCCAGCCCCCTAAGCCCAATCATGCCCAGGGCTGGAGGCTACACTGAGCCCAGAGGTATCCTGCAGCACCAGACCATTGTACCCTCTCGTTCCACAGACCACTGCCCACCATAGCAGACAGGAGCAATGGTCTGCTAGCCCCATATCACTGGGCCAGAGCACAGGTCCACAGAGCCCCGCTGACCTGCTTCCTGCACTCACCTGCACATAGTTCCTCAGAGGAAAGCTGCGTGGAACAGCAGCTGCCACCCACCCGCACAGCAGCTGAGTCGGTGCCAGGCCCCCCCCTCGTGTAGGCAACACATCTTGCTCCACATGGAAGACTTCCCCACTGACGTGCTTTTGCTCCAAAACACCCAATCCCATTAGCTGCAACTTAGCCTAGAGTGCCAGGGACCCTCACATTATCTGCTCCCATTCCAGAGCAAGGACAGGCAGCTGGGAGAGGAGGACAGCAAGCCAAGGAAGAGAACCAGCCCTTACCTCAAACAGGGTCAAGCTCTCATCACTCAGGATGGTCCTAGGAGGTGTAATAACTGCAGAGAAGAACAAGTTGCACATTAGGACAGCAGCTTCACGACCATGCCACTGCTCTGGGGGAGGTTTACAGCACCCTTTTGCAAGGTGTGTCCTTGCTGTACACCCAGGCAGTGCTGCCTGCTCTGCTGCAGGCAGGACCCTGGCAGGGTCAAGACAGCAGTGACACTCCTCATGCTCTGGGCAAGGCACAGTGGAAAAGTTCCTGTTTCAGGGTGCTGCCCCAGGGGAGGAGAAGGGGGAAGCTCTTGCACAGGCCTCATGCCAGGTGTCACTCCAGGGAAGGGCTCAAGGGCAGGGGTGGGCACAAACACCCACTACACTCACACAGGTAGAATGGCAGCTCTGCATCTGCAAGGTGGCTTCTCACAAAGCCTCTCAGGTCACCAACTGTGGAGGAAAGAAAGCAGAGGAAAGGGGTCTGCTGGGCCCAAGCACAAGATCCACAGCACACCTGCCAGCAGCAGCTTTCAAATGCTACCCTTGGTAGTCAGATGTCCAGAAGCAGCTGCAGCACATGCAGGGGCCCCAACCCACTGAGGCTCTGGTCCCCAGTTCTCAGACCTAACGGACAGCACCTGTTTCTGAGGGCAAGTCAAGAAATCTAATGGGCACGGGGTACCTGACTTCCCAGAGGGCAGAGGATGTCAGTGAATGGCCGGAAGAGCAGCCAGGTGCGTGCCCTGACATGCTCCCTTGTGTGGCCCGGGAGATGCAGGAACCTGTAATCCCTCTGCTGCTTCGGCTCCATTGGAGAGGGCCTGATTTTCAGCTTGGCCTTTGGTGGTTTTAAAAATACTAGCTGAATTCAGCCTGTTCTCATGTACTCCCAGCCCTTCTCTTCAGGACTCTGGCTGGAAGAAGGCTTTGTCCTGTACAGGGACAACACTGCATTGTTTGGGAATGAGTGTGCCATCAGCCGGGACATCACTGTGACTCTTCTGGGCAGGAATACTGCAACTCCAAGGTGCCTGGCACCATCCCTCCCAACAGTCTTGAGAAAAAGCCCTTCCTCATACTGAATCTGGATGAGGCCAACACCTCGGAGCCTTGCTTCCCCCACTCCCTGGAGCAACAGGAACAAGCTGCACTAGTTCCATTTGAAAGAGCATGCAGCTCAGGTGACTGCAGGTGTAACCATGCAACTTCTTCAGGGCAGTGTAGCCCTCCCTCACCCATGATGCAGACCCATCCAGAACCCTCCTGTGCATTGCCATATCCCCATGCCACACGGCTTTGCAGGCTGGGTGCTGCCTGTAAGACGGGAGCAGATATGCACTTACCTGTTTCACTGGGGCGGAAGAAACCTTGCAGAACATAGCGGTCTGGGAAGTGAACCCGCAGCACCACCTAGACAGACAGCTGCATCAGCTCCAGCAGTTGCCCTGAAAGTCATTGCCCTGCTCACATGAGATAAACCTGGAGCAGAGCTGAAGCCAGGCAGTCTTTGCTCTGCATGGAGGTCACACCAGATGGACGCATTCTTCCCTCAGGGGCTGCACCTTTCCACTGCCAGGCGGCCATTCAGGGCCCCTGAGCTGGTTGGGTGTCCAAGAATCTGTGACCATCAGATCTGGTCTCCAGGGAGGGTAATGGTGCTGTTTGTACTACAGCAGCATTGAGACAGAACCGCTGTGCCAGAGGCTGCATAAATAGGATGCACAGTCTGTGCTCTGACAAGCTCGTGGTCTCAGTGAATCACCACTTCTGAGCACCCCCCCGCCCCCGCAGCAGGGAGCCTTCCAATGGCACTATCTTTCCCCCCAAGAGCCGAGCAGCCAGCAGCAGGAGGGTGCAGGGGGCCTGGCAACAGGCCAGCTGCTGTGGGCATGCTTGCTGGTTCTCAGCGCCGTCCTGTCCGTGGCTCGCTCCAGCAGCATGCACCTCCTGATTTCCCAGAGACATCACCAGAGAGGCAAGCCGGAGCACCCGCCCGCCATGGCCCTGTTGGTCCCTACAGAGATCCGACCCCTTGAATTCACAGTGACCAACGAGTACAGGAGTGGAGATGAAGAATAGGCTACCTTTGGGTAACGCTCCAGCTTCTCCTTCATCTGAGCTTCCCTCATGGACTGTGTCATTAAGGGAGTCTCTTCCAGGCGTTTCCTACAGAAGGGGACAAGGCAGATTACCTGTCAGATCTGCCACTTTATGGCCCGTTTACAAGATAAACAGCCCAAGCAGGTCAAGTGCAGCTCTGTGCAGCCCCCACTCCCATCACTGCCCCCTGTCCCAAGTCCTTCTGCCCTCCCCCCATGACGCCAGCCCCCAGCCCCATCCCATCCCGCTGCCACCGTAGCCACCTCAGAGCCCAGGCCCAAGTCCCTCAAGGTGCTCTCTTCACCCACAGCACCCAGCCTCTTTGTGTGACCAATACCAGCCAACACAGGCCTTGGACTTCCTTCTCCTCCGCAGGTTTTCCTGTCTCAGAGACACGAAAACACCATTGTTTATTCCCTACAGCTTCTGTCCCAAGCAGGCCCTGGACACCGGCTCTCCCATTCTGGAAGGGCACAAGGCACTCAGGGCAGTGCTGAGCTACAGCAGCCTTCACTCCACATGAACCCTTTCCACATGCAATCCCTTTAGCCTTTGGAAAAGAGGGGCAGGGCCCGGGCCCGGGCCCAGGCACAGGACAACTGTGGAGAGAAAATGTACTTGGGGAGTCTCTCCCAGCCCAGCACTATTCACAGCCCCTCAGCTACCGAGTAGAGGCACTTTCACCACAGGTACTGTGCTTTGTAGGCCAGGCTGCTGGCTTACTTCAGCCTCACGTACCAATTCATGTTACCAGAATAATAGTCTGACAGCCTCTGAAATGCTGCATCATGCAGCCATCGCACTGAGTCAATGGCATGTGCATCTTGCCTTTATTTTTATCCCTGTCTGCGGGCAAAGAGAGTTGTAAGAATCAGCAGATTTCAAAACGAAGTCCTTCTGAGGGGCTGCGTTCCAGGAACCCCTTGCCCAAATGATCCCAAATCCGCACCACTAACTATGCCCACAAGGAGCACAGCAGTTTCCAGGCCAATGTGGGTTCGTGTGGATTTTGGAGCACTTGGAAGAATGGTCTCAAGCAGACAGCGCCATGGGCGGCGCGCAGGAAGGATTTATAGAAGATTCGGACTGAAGTGACACCAGTGCGTACAGCACTCGCCCCAGGGAGGCAGCTCCCCTTACCTGGCCCACCTCGTCCCGAACTCAGCCGAGAATCCAGAACCTTCCCGACACGAGTGCCCAGTTCCTGACAGATGCAGCCCTGGGGCAACTATGCATCCCCACGTTTTTTGGCTTACTGGTCACCTTGGGACAATGTCTCAGAGCTGGCTTATTCCAGCGAGCGGCAGTGGAACGCAGCCGTTCTGCCATCAAAGCGATGGGGATTTGCTGGCTGGCTGCGGGCCAGAGCTAGCTCCCTTTGAAGTTGATGGGAGTCATTCTGCTGGTAGCAGGATCAAGCCATGTGTCACAGCATGTCACTCATTAGTCACAGGGGGAGCAGCCACGCCCGCCGAGTTCTCAGCCATCACCCTGACGTCAGGCCAAGGCACACGTGGCAGGAGCAGCACGAGATGCCTCGGCCTTCCAGCGCTCAGGCTGGCTCTGGGTTGCGAAGCACCTGGTTTCAGGAGCAGCAGCTCTGCGTGCACATGAATGCGTGTGGGGCAGGGGTGGGGGAAGAGGGCACCGTGTCTTGGGCAGCCCACCCGAACGCAGAGTTTTGCACCTTCGCCACACGAACACCAAGGCCTTCTCATCATTTCCCCCAGACGTGGCAGAGAGGAGCGTGCTAAACGCTTCACAAGCATTATGGGGTTAAGTCCTCCACACCTCTGTGAAGGAGACACTTCACCTCAGTGACAGGCCCGAGACACAACCAGCTTTATGGACTGCTCTGGCAGCGCAAAGGCCCTAAGGCAGCCAGACCTCCCCTGGCAGTGATCCCACCCCACTCCACAGGCCACCTGCAGCCCAGGGAAGGAAGAGGGGCTATGTGCAGCTAGAAGGCTGTGGAGCAGCCTGATGCTACTTCAAAAGCATGCCAGGGCCAGCCTACAGCTGGGAACAGTTAGGGTTTTCTGCCAAGGACACAGGTCAAATCTGCAGCAAGACCAGCATCTCCTACGGTCGCCCCAGGGTGCTCCGTGTTCTGGCTGCTGCCCAGTTCTCTGGATTTCACTCCTTCCAGGCCTGCACCCCACAGCTCCCGTTCTGGGCCAAGTGATCTAAAAAGCCTTAAAGTGGGCAGTGGGAGCCAGGACTCCAGAACACACCAAGCCCAAACCACGGACCCAACCAGCCCCTGACTGGCTTCCGGATGCCAGCACTCAACGGCACAGCCACGTGCTCTCCTCTGTGAGCGTGAGGTGAGACACGAGCACTGGGACTGCTCGTGGGAAAGGCACTTGCCTCTCGCTCTGCAGCTGGGACAAGCGCTTCCGCACGTCGTCCACCGTGACTTCAAAGAACTCGTCAGGAAAGTCCTTTGGGCCAGGAGGCAGCGCTGGCTGCAGGTCTAGGTGGCACACGACTGGCTCCCGCTCCAGCAGCTGCAGAGCAGACAAGCACAGGTTAGTCTCGAACGTGAAGCAAACACAGCGGGACCCTGAAGCCCATGTAGCACGGTCTGGTCAGAGCTTCTGGCGCTGACTGCCTATTCACCTGCCTTTTCCTGCACTGCACATTTAAGTCCCAGCCTTGCCCATCCATCCAATCAGCAAGAACTCTCCTCCTGCCCAGGAATTCATGCTACACCCTCTTCCTAGGCCCATGTGCAGGCTTTGCCCTGCTTTTAGCTGCCCAGAGTGCAGAGCAGACTTCTCCTCACCCACACGTGCAGCCTGCTAAGACCTAGAAGCCCTGGAGGACATGTGAGTTTGAGACTAGACCAAAGAAGGTGCAATGAGCCCCAGCATACAATGGGCAGGGATTGGCAGAACATGAACTTCCCTGTTAACATGCAGCTCTGCAGCCTGGAGCCCTTCACAGCCAGCTGCCTGCCTGGCCTAACCCAAGGCCCCATGGACCAAGCATCCTAGTGATGAATGTCCCCCAGCGTCTCCCTCTCACCTTCCCAGCCTCCCATCTGCCTCCCAGCCAGACATACTCCTGCACATCCCTACAAGGGCTCCCCTGCTTCTGGCCCCCTCTGCTCTGCCCTCCCCCCATGCACAGGCCCCCTGGGAACAGAGCGAGTCGCTCTCAATTGTCAGCAAAGACAACACAAATTACAAGGCAAGGTTGGCTCTATTTGTGGGCACCAAAGGGTAATTTGAGAAATTAAAAGAGCGAGGTTGTGTGGGTGGGACCCTCGGCTACTTTTAGAAAGTTGAGTGGAGTCGGCTCTAACTAGAGGGTGAAGGCGCCTGATTGCAGCTTTCCCTGGGCAGGGGGAGGAGGAGTGCCCAGAGCAGCAGTGTCCCTGGGCTGGGAGCATAAGGAGTGCCCCCGAGCTGCCAACAGCCCTCGGCCATGAGCCTTTTGCACATTGGCCCCCTGGGCCAGCCACACAGAGGCAGGTGATGCCGCAGGGTCAGAGAGGGTCTGGCTTGGACCTCCTCCGAGTCAGGTCTCTCCTCCACATTCAGGGCTCCCTTGCACTTAGACATGCTCCCCCATGCAGTGGGACGTCTCAGAGTTACACTTCGCTGCCCTGAACAACCCTCTCCAAGCACGCCCTGCAGACCCAACCATGCAAGGACAGTCACCCCTCAGAAGAAAGCTGAGGGGACAGACAGGCCCTGCAGCTGACAGCTCTGGACATGAACAAGAACTCCAGGCCCTCTTGCTGGCAGCTCCTCACATGCCACTGAGGCTGCCAGATCAAGCACCCAGGCTAGCAGCAGAGGCAGGTGGATCCCCCCAGAACCAGCTAGGAGCCTGTAGCCACAAGCCAGCAGTCAGCACAGCTCCGCAGCACC